TGGCTTAAAAAAACACTAGTTGCTTATTATCTTCCCTGGTTTCTATGAGTCAGGACTCTGAGAGCAGATTTTGGCTGGAAGATCTCCCATGGGGTTACAATCACGCGTTGCCTGGAGCTGTAAACTATCGGGAGTCTGGCACAGGGCTGACGGACCCTGTCCCAAGGCACAGGTCTTTGAGGTGGTGGCAAGTTGGTACTGCCTGGTGGAGGTCGCCTTTAGTTTTCAGTAACGTAGCATCTCATGGCTTGACCTTTTTGGCCTTAATAAATAGTCTTCTATCCAAATAGTTATATGAAATTTAAGCAGAAAAAGAACAACAGATGAACAGAAACATGAGCCCCAGTGCCCTCTGAAAACATCTTACTGGTTCTTCATGGAACGCTTTAAGTCAAGAAAAGCAAGATAGTCATCTTTTCTTTTCTTCCCCGCACCCCCCAACCCCCAGCTGCTTTGAACTATCTGTTTGTAATTCCTAAAGGACTCTTCTAACTCAGTGAAGAGTGGTTCTACCAAACACCCACTGCCTGACTTGGAACTGGGGGAGCCCTGGGGGAGACTGGTGTACACAGCTCCTGCAGGCTGCTGGGGGGGGTTGTAGGGGGTCCAAAAGAATAAATCCGCAGACTTTAGGAGGAAGAGGAGCCCTGGGCTTTGTGATCAGTGGGATCGGCTTTCAGTCAGTGGGATGGGCTTTGTGATCAGTGGGATCGGCTTTCAGTCAGTGGGATCCGCTTTCAATCAATCAGTGGGATCGGCTTTCAGTCAGTGGGATCCGCTTTCAATCAATCAGTGGGATCGGCTTTCAGTCAGTGGGATCCGATTTCAATCAATCAGTGGGATCGGCTTTCAGTCAGTGGGATCCGCTTTCAATCAATCAGTGGGATCGGCTTTCAGTCAGTGGGATGGGCTTTCCTCTGAGGCTTCCTTTTCCCTAAAGCACTGAGTCTTCCCACCAAGAGATTGGCCAGGCTTTCACAGATGCAAGAAGCAAGGCAGAAAGACAGTTTTGTTGTTGTTGTTGTTGTGTGTGTGTGTGTGTGTGTGTTTGCACCTTGAACTCTCACTTAATATTACATAGAAACATCCTCCTCCAAACCCAATGGCTGCCATCCCTGGGGCCAGACTGCTGCTCACCTGACCTCCCTGGCCTCAGAAGTTTTCTGGGGGGCAAGCCAGTAACCAGGCCTACACACTCTTCTCAGGTCAGAAAACTAGGCATATTTAGGAGGGGTTGTGGGGGCTGGGTGAATACAGCCTCAGATACTAGTTGAACAAAAGCACTAGACTTCCACTGAAATAGACTGGAAATGTGATGGCAGATCTTAGTGAACTCAGGTCTTTCTCTGTGAGCTCAGGTCTCTCTGTGAGCTCAGTTGTCTCTCTGTGAGCTCAGTTGTCTCTCTGTGAGCTCAGTTGTCTCTCTGTGAGCTCAGGTCTCTCTGTGAGCTCAGGTCTCTCTGTGAGCTCAGGTCTTTCTCTGTGAGCTCAGGTCTCTCTGTGAGCTCAGTTGTCTCTCTGTGAGCTCAGTTGTCTCTCTGTGAGCTCAGGTCTCTCTGTGAGCTCAGGTCTCTCTCTGTGAGCTCAGGTCTCTGTGAGTTCTGTTCTCTCTCTGTGAGCTCAGGTCTCTCTGTGAGCTCAGTTGTCTCTCTGTGAGCTCAGGTCTCTCTGTGAGCTCAGGTCTCTCTCTGTGAGCTCAGGTCTCTCTGTGAGCTCAGGTCTCTCTGTGAGCTCAGGTCTCTCTGTGAGCTCAGTTGTCTCTCTGTGAGCTCAGGTCTCTCTGTGAGCTCAGGTCTCTGTGAGTTCTGTTCTCTCTCTGTGAGCTCAGGTCTCTCTGTGAGCTCAGGTCTCTCTTGGAGCTCAGGTCCCTGTGAGTTGTCCTCTTTTGTGGTGTCCCCTATAGGTAAGTGTGGAGTCATGACTGCAACCAAAGCTCCTCCCCCCTCAGACTTGCTTCCACACTGATTGTGGAGGCACGTTTCCAGTGGTTGGCATGTGAAGCCAAATAATGCATGGCATGGTTTCTTTTAGCTTTTCTAATCTAAACAGTAAGTTCTCTAACATGCCTTACCATACACACACAGTTTAGTAAATCCATGGGGCCATGTTTTTGTTTTGAATATAGCCAACTCCATTGTAAAAGATGCATATTTTAGAAGATGTGCTTTATTTTATGTGTCTGGATATTTGGCTTTCATGAATATATGTGCACCATCTACTTTCCTGGTAGCCACAGAGGCCAGAAGAGGGTGTGAGAGTTCCTGGGACTAGAGTTAAGTAGTTGTGAGCTGCTATGTGGATGCTGGGAATAAAACCTCTGTGTCCTCTGGCTGAACCTCCTCTCCAGCCCTAAAAAGACATTTTTAAAATTTTGGAAATTAGGCCTCAATGTGTAACACAGGTTGGTCTAGAAATGGCTGTTTTTTTTTAACTCATGATCCTTTGGCCACTATTTCCCAAATGCTTTGATTAAAGGCATGGGCCACCATATCCTACTAGACTTCATTTTTATTCACAGAAGTTTCTTACCCTTATTAATGTTGAACAAAATGGCTTAAAGGGTAAATGCATCACAGGTCTATATAAAGGGTTCCGTGGTCTGTCCTGAGCCTGCAGAGGGAGGACTTGACTCATCCGTTTGACTTGTTTGGGTCATAGGTTTTTTTCCTTAGCAGCTAGGAAAGGTCCTGGCAGAGGAATGTTGTAGGATACCTTAGCATCTAGGAACAGGTCCTAGCAGAGGAATGTTATGGGGCATTTGTATGCTGTGTGAAGGTGTATTTCTGTGATTGGTGTAATAAAACAGTTCAACAGCCAATAGCTAGGCAGGAGGTATAGGTGGGACTTCCAGGCATGGATCTAGGCACATGACAGAGATGGGAAGAGACACCAGGAGCACAGAGAAAGCAGCATGGGTATTACAAAGTAAAGGTAACAAGTCTCACAAAAGAATGCATTTTAGAAGATATGGGTTCATTTAAGTTTTAAGAGCTAGTTAGAAATAAACCTAAGCTATTGGCCAAGTTTTCATAATTAATAATAAGTCTCAGGGTCATTAGGAACCAACAGTCCTGGTTAAAAAAGACCGATTACAGGGGGAGTGGGGCCTGTAGAAGCCAGATGTCTGGCAGAATGCTCTCTAGCTTTCAGGATGCGATGGCCAACCATCTTAACCTGAGGCTTTTCTTAGCAGTAAACTCAGGAAAGCCCTGGGTCCTGTTGCTTGCTATCTCAGGATAGCTTAGACCAGACTCTGAGTTGTAGACTTTGGGACCCAATAGCCAGCTTAAGCTCAGTGTCTATTATTGTACTCTCTGTGCACCATTGAATGAGTTAATGGCCCTGCTCCCCAGTTTCCACACATGAAAATGGAGATAGTTACACCTGTTTGTCAGCATGAGATAGTGTGTGTAGAGCCTTGGGTGTGTTGGGCATATAGAAAGTGCTCATAGATGTTACCATTATTATCATGAAATTATTATTTAAATACACTGGCTTCGTATTTCCTTAGCTACAGGATAGGCAATTCTATGGAAGTAACAATGAGTGTATCTGACATTTGCCGAGATCTATCAAGAAGTCACATGGTATTAATGACAGCTTAAGAAACAGTCATCCCTTTTGGAAACTTAGATCAAAATAAGATTGTAGGGGCTGGGTATGAGCTCACTTAGTAAAGTGCTTACCCAGCAAGCACAAAGGCCCAGCATCTAACAGACCGCATGGTTGTTCAGGACAATAATCCTAGCGTGGAGGAGGTGAACAGGAGGACTAGAGGTTCAAGTTTATGGTCCACTACACAGTGAACTTGAGGTTTGCTTCAGGTTTGTGAGACCTTGAATGTCAAAAACAAAAACAAACAAAACAAGAAAAGGAAGAAGGAAGGGAGGAAGGAAGGGAGGGAGAGGGAAGAAGGGAAGGAGGGAGGGAGGGAAGAAGGAAGGAAGGGAGGAAGGAAGGAAGGAAGGAAGGAAGGAAATCACCAGTTCTAGCATTTTCTAACTTGGTTGCCTAGATGATCAAGTTTTAACTGTTAGGAAGATTCTGGAATGGAATTCTTTGGGGAGGGAGGCACAAAACTGTGCAGACCTTATAGGCATTTTAGGCTGGAGTCCCAGGCTGCAGCTCTTGCTGGACCCAGCTTCTACCCCTGGGCTCCAGGCACATGTGTTTTCCATCAGTGTTAATAACCACTGCTTTTCAAGCTCTCATTTCCTATAGTCTGGCCTGAAAATATTTGCTGAGTCACTTGACCTCAAGGCTCTTCTGAAGCAGTAGTCACATGACCAGAAACCGCTGTAGGCTTCTAGCATAGCTTCGGGCAAGTCTTTTTTATTCCAAGCTTGTTTCAAGCAGTAGTTACAGATTTAGACACAAAGCATACCCTGCAGCCAGAGAGCCCTGCAGCTCCCCGGGAGGTATGGGGCCTGATTTCATTCATAAAGAGTTTGTTTTCTAGTAAGGAGGGCAGGTTCTTATCCAAGACCCATTCTGAGGGTCTTGAGAGGTCTCTAACAAAACAAAAGCTGGGCCATGTGACCAGAGGGCAGAGGAGTCCATTGTGACTGAGAATCCTAAAGGATGACTCAGCAGGCCAGGCCTGGAGAAAACAAGTGACTGCAGATCTGGCAAGCTGAGGAGGGACGGAAGCTTGATCCCAGAGTGTGTGGAACCCACGCATGCGCACGCTGACCCAGTTAAGTCTGGCAGTCAGCGAGTCGGATGGAGTCACAGGCAGTGGAGCAGAAATCGGGGCTGTTGTGGATTGAATCTGCAGGGTCACTGCATAGGTGTATGTTCTGATGGCTCGTCCCAGCCTGTGGCAGTATTGTGAAGGCTGTCGATGCTTTAGGAGACAGGCTGGGGTGGTGGAAACGGGCACTAGGGTAGGTCTTTTTTGTTGTTGTTGTTTGTTTGTTTGTTTTTGTTTTTTCTGAGGCAGGGTTTCTCTTTGGCTTTGGAGGCTGTCCTGTAACTAGCTCTCATAGACCATGCTGACCTCGAACTCACAGAGATCCGCCTGCCTCTGCCTCCCGAGTGCTGGGATTAAAGGTGTACACCACCAATGCCCGACTAGGGTAGGTCCTTAAAGGTTGTGTGCTCCCCCAGCTCTGGTTCTCATCTCTCTGCTTTTTGGTCTATAATCATGAGATGCTTTCATATGCTCCTGCTACCACATAATGAAGACCCACTGTCATGCCTTCCCTGTCACAACTGGCTTAAAATCCCTCTGAGCCAGGAGCCAGAATAGATCTTATCTCTTTCAAGTTGTTCTTGTCAGATATGTGGTCACAGCAATGCAAAAGTAACATTACAGGAATCTTCTGAGGACAAGCGACTGTAACAGGTTCCAGCCTTTACTGCGTGAATCCTGCTACCCAGCAAGGGTTTCTCCCCACCCTGTGAACAAGGTACAGAATGCACTTGTGTCTTACCCCTTTACTGTATCACATGAGAAAACCGTGTCACCAGGTGCAGAAATAACGCCCAGCAATCTCAAAGGAAAAAGAGGAAGAAGTTTTTTTTTTTTTTGGTTTTGAAAATGCTATTGTCTGAACTAACAAACTTTGCCATACTTTAGGCCACACTATCCACCTAATAAAATATTGTTTAGGGTGCTAGAGAGATGGATCATTTCTACAAGAGGGGCTTCTGCATGCCCATGGTGCACACACACATGCGTGTGTGCGCGCACACACACACACACAGACACACAAGCTCACGCATGTGCGCATGCACACACAGAATAAATAAGAAGCAAATATTTATAGTGCCTTATTTTCCTTTGTTAGTGGGTAGCCTAGCTCTCTGCAATCAACTTTCCCTTCCAACTTGACTTTTATCTGAGTTGCCCAGGTCACAGAGACAGCTGGATCAGGTCTCTGTATCCCAACTCCATGTCCCTGATGAAAGCATCTGAGAGCAGTTCAGAGAAAACAATCATTAGGCTAAAGGATAAAGCACTGGGAGGGAGGCAAATTTTTCTGTTGCACCTGCCAGCTCCCCCCAAATTGTTAAAGCTCGGCCAACAGTTTAGACTTGTTTATAACTGGTTCTTATAACTTAAATTCACCCATTTTAATTAATCTACATGCTGCCCATCCTGCTGGCTCTGCATCTCATGGGGTCTACCCAGACTCCACCCTTCCTCATCCCAGCATCCTCTCTGCCCTGGACATCCTGCCCAGCTGTTGGCTGGTCAGCTTTTTATTAAACCAAGCAGAGTGACAAATCTTCACAGTGTACAAAAAGATTATTCCACAACACTGGAAGACATGCTCTGCTGTGCCAAGGCAGGCTGTTCTAGGGAAAGGTGCAGCCACAACCTAAAACAATATAAAAAATTATGACAGGCTGAAAATCTGAGTCTTCTCTGAAAATGTAGTGTATATTAGAATTGGAGAGGCAAGGAATACTTTAGTAGACCTAAAGAAATTCTAGCCCAAAATCATTTAGAAAAGTCAACATTTAGAATTAGGGATTCATATGATGCAACTAAATTTCTGATCATGGCAGCCAGCAAAGGAAACATTGGCCAGCCCTTGGCATTCTAGAAGTGTTGAGTGTAGAGTGGATCCATCATTACTTCTGATAACACAGGCGCCACCACTTCCTAACCAATCCAAGCATAGTTTTTAAGTGGGCTTTAATGTCACATTTGCCCATTGCTTCTTGGCTTTTTGAGTAAAATTAAATGTTTATCAAAATATTTGTCCAGCTAACAGAAAATTTCAAAGTTATTGACATAATATTGTTTGTAGCAGTCTCTCCTTTTTTAGTATTTTAAATTATATTTTTTGTATGTGTGCCAGCATGCGTGCTTGTGTGTGGTGTGTCATAGCATGCATGCGGAGGTCAGAGGATGACTTGTGGAAGTCCCTTCTTTCTAACACGTGTGTTCCTGGGACTGAACTCAGATCATCAGGCTTAGTGACAGATGTCTTTAACTACTGAAGTTAAAACCAACCATCTTGCTGGCCCTAGCTGTAGAATCTCTAGTGATGTTACGTTCTCATATGTGACAACTGTACTTTGTTTCATCTCTCTATATCTCTTTACTTTTTGACTAGAAGTTTCTCTGTCTTATTGGGCTTTTATCTGTCTTCAACTCCATCAAAGACCACAGAAGGATAATACATAAACACTAGAATTGACAGAGACATCTCACTACCTGAACAGTCACCTGAAGTTTCTCTGTAACATTGGGGCATCCATCTGCAGCCCATAGGCCACAGTGTGTCTGGAAGACTTCTCAGCAAAGCAGGAGATTTAAAACTGTCCATCTGCATTGGCAGTTTGTCAGTCATTTTTCTGTGTCCTGCAGAATGTCTGGCAGACTCTTCCATGAAGCACAAACCCTGTCAATCTTTTTTGTAAATTTAGCAGTCACTTTCCTGCATGTCCTGCATGTCCTGCATGTCCTGCATGCCCAGTTTATATACCCACAGTCAAATAATCCAGGAAAGAGCAGTTTCTTGCCCAAATGGCTAATCTTGCCGTGTTGAAAGCAAACTCCATAAGGAATTTCTTCGATGCCCATCTTCCTCTTAGATGTAATTGGTGTACTAGGAGTAGTAGTGTCTCACTATCATGAAAAACCCTAAACCATTTAATTGTCATATATTCTGTAGGTCTTTGAAAGGTTTGAAGAATATCTATCCATCTCAAATACATCTCTGTATATCTAAAAAAAACTCACTAACCTAGCTATAAGTTTTGACTATTATAGGAAACTATCTATAATCTGTATTTAATTATACGGTACATTTTTAAATGAGACGTATAAACACAATATCTAAGCAAGAGGAGAAATATATATATATATATATATATATATATATCACAAAATTGATCTTAAATTTGTATCATTAAATGAAAATCCATACCAATACAAAGTATTAATTTCTATATCAAAATCTCCCTTTTATCTTTAAAGAGATAGGTTGTGATCACTAACCATTTATATCCAGCCCCATTTAATGAAAACAAAAATTTATAAACAGCATTTGGGAATTTGGGCGTTGTTCATTCCAAACTGCTTCCTGCTAGTTGGGGGGCACTGTCCATACCATGTGATCATGACAAAACACAGAAACCTGGCCAGGTCCTTGTTTTTGTAGTCTGCATCATCCCAGCTGCTTCAGATGCTGGACTGCCTGGAACGTTGCTTCAGGGGGTCTTGCTTCATCAAATCACACTAGTATGGAAGGAATCCATAGCTTTACATTTTCTGTGGAAACACAAGCAGAAACGCTTTTCCCAAGTAACCTGTACTTATATTTAAATTTAGAAGTCAAAGCATTTTAAAAATATATAAGTTGGATTAATTCAGTAGCATTTCTTTTAGCAGTTGTTGCTATTTCCTTAGCAGTCAAACAATTCAAAGACAACACAATAGCATACAGTATCCAGACTCTCTCTATACTTTTCATCTTTATGTGGCTTTTTTTATTGCTCTATTTCTTTTACTTTTTTCTCTGAGACAGGTCTTCTCTGTGGAAATCTGCCTGCCTCTGTCTCTGTTTCTGGACTGCTGGGATTAAAGGCGTGTGTGCCACCACTGCCCAGCCATTATCCTGTTTCTTTTTCTCTCCCAAGTCTACCCATATTTTTAAACACACTACAAACCTTTTAGAGGTTTTACTTCATTTGAATCTGACTTTACTGTAAATCTTTATGTTTTTCTGGCCACGCGTCTTTTATTTGCTAAACAACATTGCTAAAATTAAAGCAGCGGCTGTTTCAGTCACTGGCTTTCCAACATGGCGGGCGTAAATTTACTGCCAGCCCTGGCCATGCAAGTCTCTGCTTGTCTCTGGGAAAACAGGGCCCACCCAAGAAAATGCTGCCACCAAGAAGTCATGCTTCTCTCTGTTCTTTTGTTTTTTAAAAAATCTGGTTTTAAGCTTTTGTTATGTGAAAATTTGTGCCCAAAGTCCGGACGCCATATGTAACGAGAATTTTTCTCACCAGTCTGGTCCCAGAGCCACATCAGTCCCAAATGAACATTCAAGATGTTATATTAATTATGAAGCTGTTGGTCGTTTGCTATTTGTGCCTCTTCGTTAGGGAATGTCCTATAAATGTCCCTAGGTCTGGCACAATGGTTGTCCTCCAACACGATATCTTTAGTGACTTTCTTGCTGATGAGAGTTTTCTTTTCAACCACTGTGAGATGGCGAATTATCTAGTTTTAAATTTGTACTTTTTAATATCTCCTTTCAATTCTGCACATATTGGCTTTCCTTTTATGTTGAAGGGCTGTTATTAGCAATATAAAGGTTATAATTCCTTAAGTCTTTTTGTTAATTCAACCCTCTTATTACTGTTATCAACTCTTCTTATCTCAGGTGATATTTTATGTTCCGCAACCTGTCTTTTCTGATATTAATAAAGACACCTTTAGTTACTATTTACTATCTTTAGCTTTTCACTTACTTGTTTCTTTTTACTTAAAGGGAGTTTCTTACAGACCACGCGGAATGACTCATCATTTCTGAGCTTTCAGACTAAGGCTGAATCTATTGCTCTGGGCTGGAGACAAGAAGGAATGTTATGACAGTGGACACTTGTGACAAAGATGCTTATCTCCTGACAGCAAAGAAATGAGGAGGGAAGCAGGGACTTGGCATAACCTTCAAAGACCCATTCCCAGCCATCATCTTCTTCTAGTAAGTCCGTCTTGTAAAGTGTCCAGTACCTCCTATGGCAGTATCACCCAGTGGGGTGAGGATGTCAACATCCAAGCTTGTCAGAGTCAAACTATAACAACGCTATTGTATTACCTGAAGATAAAAACAAGGGTCTGTGATATCCCTCAAATATCACAGGCAAGTTTTAAATGAAACAGTAGAAGCTTTTAGTTTTAGAAACATGCTCTGATCAGGTCAATTGCTCAGTACTGAAAGGAGGAAGGATATGGATATTTATGTTTGAAAAGATGAGGTTTGGACAATCAAGATAAAGGTAAGTGTGTGTGTGTGTGTGTGTGTGTGTGTGTGTGTGTGTGTGTGTGTGCGCGCCTGCCTGTCCCTCTTTCATTCATATATTCAACAAATACTTGGAAGTATGTAGTGTTTTTAGTGCTGGGTTCATTTAGCACTGCCTGGCACTTTGGGAATTAGTACAATAACAAGCTTTCTTGGGAGATCTCCTTGGAGTAATCTCCAATGTAATCAAAGATCTAACACATCTCTCTAAGTAGAGACCCACTGCACAGTCCCAGCAGCCCCTTCTCTGAGTGGGTGGAACAATCTTGGTGAAGGAAATCTTTAAATCTGGTAAATCCATTTGGGGTCTCCACACTAATGCCATTTATGCTCTCTGAAGGGATAAAGGTTAAACCCTTAGGCTTGCCCATTCATTCACTTCTCAGGAAGTATTTAATGTGCGTCTCTAGTGTCAGTCCCCAGGCAGAAGGTTAAGACACTGAGTTAATTACTATGTAAAATTTACTATGTAAAATACCCGGCTTAAGCAGCTTAAGGGAAGAAAGGGTTATTTTGGCCCTTGGTTTAAGGAATATAGTTCACTGAGGTGGGAGGGCATAGCATCAGGAACAGCTCATAACGGTGGTGGTGCTGATGGTAGTGATGGTGGTGGTGGTGCTGATGGTAGTAATGGTGGTGGTGATGGTGGTGGTGGTGGTGGTGGTGATGGTAGTGATGGTGGTGGTGATGGTGGTGGTGGTGGTGATGGTGGTGGTGGTGGTGATGGTGGTGGTGATGATGGTGGTGGTGCTGCTGATGGTGGTGGTGGTGGTGATGGTGGTGGGGATGGTGGTGGTGATGATGGTGGTGGTGCTGCTGATGGTGGTGGGAATGGTGGTGGGGATGGTGGTGGGGATGGTGGTGGTGGGGATGATGGTGGTGGTGGTGGGGATGGTGGTGGTGATGGTGGTGGTGGGGATGGTGGTGGTGGTGGGGATGGTGGTGGTGGGGATGGTGGTGGTGGTGGTGATGGTGGTGGGGATGGTGGTGGTGATGATGGTGGTGGTGCTGCTGATGGTGGTGGGAATGGTGGTGGGGATGGTGGTGGGGATGGTGGTGGTGGGGATGATGGTGGTGGTGGTGGGGATGGTGGTGGTGATGGTGGTGGTGGGGATGGTGGTGGTGGTGGGGATGGTGGTGGTGGGGATGGTGGTGGTGAGGATGGTGGTGGTGGTGGTGGTGAGGATGGTGGTGCTGATGATGGTGGTGAGGATGGTGGTGGTGCTGCTGATGGTGGTGGGGATGGTGGTGGGGATGGTGGTGGTGATGGTGGTGGTGCTGCTGATGGTGGTGGGAATGGTGGTGGGGATGGTGGTAGGGATGGTGGTGGTGGGGATGATGGTGGTGGTGGTGGGAATGGTGGTGGGGATGGTGGTGGTGAGGATGGTGGTGGTGCTGCTGATGGTGGTGGGGATGGTGGTGGTGGTGGTGCTAATGGTGGTGGTGGTGCTGCTGATGGTGGTGGTGGATCACCAAGGTCCAGCTATGGAAATATTGAAGTCCAGCAATCAAAAGCCCCCTTTGGCTCACCTAATTAACATGCTCAATCAAAATTAAACACCTCATCCGAACATAAAGTTTTGGATGTACCTTTATAAAGTGCCATTTTCCTATGTGCCACATGCATTGCCTCTCTGTCCAGAGGCAGTCCTTGGTCCTCTGGAACAAACAACCCTACCTTCTTTCTCCTGTTACCTTCCCCTTCTCTCTCTTCCTCTGTCTGCTTTCTTTGTCCCTTATTCCCTGCCCTCTGTGCCTCTGGGGCAAATAAATCTCCTTTGCACTGAGAACTTGGTCTTGGGGGTCCTGGGTCAATACTTCTCCTTTCACCCACCAGCTGGGGAACAGTCATTCATGGCATGAGCCAGTGGAGGAGCATGCAGATTCAAATGGTCACATGTTAAAAGGACGAGGTATCATGGCATTCTCATTAACCCCTTAGCATCCATCTTAATGGATTTGCTTTATTTTTATTTCCTTTTAAGATGTTTACATGGACTATGTGTCTTAGTTAGGGTTTCTGTTGCTGTGAAGAGACACCATGACTACAGCAACTCATAAGAGAAAACATACAACTGAGGTGGTGGCCTACAGTTTCGGAGGCACAGTCCATTATCATCATAGCAGGGAGCATGGCGGTGTGCAGGCAGACTTGGTGCTGGAGAGGTAGCTGAGATTCCTACATCTTGCAGGCAACAGGAAGTTGACTGAAACACGGTTGTATCCTGAGCATAGGAAACCTCTAAGTCTGCTCCTGTAGTGACACACTTCCTCCAACAAGGCCATACCCACTTGAAGAAAGCCACACCTCCTCACAGTGCCACTCCTTGGTATTATGGGGACCAATTACATTCAAACCACCCCAGGATGTAAGGCCCTTGGTTTAACCACAGTAGCAATACACACACACACACACACACACACACACACACACACACACACACACACGAGGTGAGTGGCGGGTGAGACAAAGGGACATAACTTGAAACAATGAAGGTAAGAAGAGACAAAAGTGGTAAGAAGATGAGTTAGTACGCCCTTTATGAGGCAAGAGTCAGAAAATACTGTCAAAAGATCACAGATGAGAGAGTCGAGCCATATTACTTAGTATTTTGCTGCTATCAGCAGAACTGGTTAAAGTTGGATGTAATAGGGACGGGGTGGAGTGAGGAGGAGAGGACTTTCATAGTATTCTACTACTTGGATGTAATCTTCATCACACGCAGAGATTATTTTGTAATAAACAATATTACCAGTGCTGGTAGTGAAAAAAAAAAGTCCCCCTTGTTATATTCCTCTCCAATCTCCTTCCCTCCCTTCCCTCTCCTCCCCTCCCCTCTCCTCCCTCTCCTCTACTTTTCCCTCCCTTCTGTTCTCTCTCCTCTTTTCTACTTTGAGGCAGCATAACTCATGGCCCAGTTAAAAATGACCTTGAACTTAGGATCCTCTTGTCTCCACATCCTGAGTACTGTGATGACAAACATGCCACCACTCTTGGTTTATGAAGTGCTGGGGACTTACCCCAGAGCTTCCTGCATGCTAGGCAAGTCTCAGCTGATCCGCATTACTAGCCCAAGTCTAAACTTAGGTGTTTCCGTCATATTAAACAGAACCAGGATAACCCTGTAATAACACCACTGTATACATTTCTAGTCTTCTTGGATGATGTTAACAGTGGCTGGTAAACTCACCAAGGAGGAAGAATACACGAGGCATTCCTTCATTGCATGTGAGCATGAACATGCACACGCTTGGCACATCTTGCAAGTGAGTCACCAGAGTGGAAGCAGTGGCCACCAGGCGCTTACATCACCACATCTTCAGCTTTGGGTCTTTATCAGGATCCTCAAATGGACATCAGGCACTGGTGGTTTCTCCATTCCCACATGACTCATTCTGGTTTACTTTTGAGGGAGCAACTAAATTAGGCACTGGGACTTTTCCCTCTTGCCAGAGTTTGAGGCAAACCACAAGATTCCAAAGTCCCTGAACGAGGGCCAGACCTTTGGAGATGTGCCTCAGTGTCTGAGTGCCCTCTCCCTGGGGTATTAGAAGTGGGCCCCATAGCCCAACATGCTCAGTCTCCCTGTGTCATCACTGATGTTATGGGAAAGAGACCAATGCCTTGCAGGGCCTCAGTGATGGCTGTCCTGTTGACTGGAGGACGGAGCCAGGTTCTTCCCATGATTTGATGATGAAACTCTCGGGAAATGTCAGTGGCTGAACTACATTTTTTAGAACTTATCAGTTCACATATAATTAGTCACAATAGCCCCCATAACCTCTATTTTATATGGCTAATGATAAATCCTGATTATTCAGCTAGGAGGTGGCCAAGGGAGACTTTAATCAAAATGGATATTGATTTTTATAATTTTGTAATCTTGTGTGTTTTTCTTTTTTCATATTTGTCCATCAGATTGGAGGAGGTCTTTTCTTTCTTTTTTACTTTTCTTTGTTTTTTTTTTTTCAAGACAGGGTTTGTCCGTGTAGCTTGGGAGCCTGCCCTGGAACTGGCTCTGTAGACCAGGCTAGCCTCAAACTCACAGAGGTCTACCTGCATCTGCCTCCCAAGTGCTGAGGTAAAAGGTGTGTGCCACCACCACCCCCCATCAAGGCAGTGTTTTCTTAATCCAGTAGTTGAGGATCAGGCAAGAAGCTCTCTCTGTCTTTAGGGTTTTGAGCTTCAGAGTTTCTGTTTTAGATGCTGGAATCCAGTACCTGCTCCACTGAGCTTGGAACCAAATTTCAGGTTTGCTACTTAACAACCACATGCTTTTGACAGACACATTTGGGTTTCCATTTACTCATCTGTAAGGTGGAAGGAAGATGTTTATTCCCAATAACTCTTAAAGCAGGGCATGTCGAGGGGTAGATGAGGTGGTGTGGATCAAGCCCCAAGCAGGGGCTCAGGTGGTGGTGGTACTAGTTGTTGTGTGAAGGGGCCCCTGTGAAACACACCAGACATATGGGACACCCACCTAAATTCCTTCTCAGGTGAGGCCCACTTAACTGCTCCTGGGTATTTAGAGAATATTCATTTTAAAAAGTAGCTGACAAGCCTGTTGTCTCATCTCCCTCAGGAGACTGACGAGGAGGACTATGACTTTGAGGTCACTCTGGACTACATAGTGAGACCCTGACTCAAAAACAAGAAAAAGATGAGTTGGACTCAAAACGGGTTGAAAACTTAAATGTGAAATCTGGAGCTTCCAGAAGGAAAAACAGGGGAAATCCTTTACAGAAGGGACAAAGTTCTTGGAAGACTCCCCAAAACACCTGAAACAAGAACAGCACCAATAAGACTATGTTAACCTACAAACCTCTTTCTCAACAAAGTAGATGGTGATCCGAGTGAAGAGACAGTAGACGGAGAGGAAGACATTGTCAAAGTACACATGTGACAAGAGGTCAGCATTCAGAAGGCACAAGGAACCCCAAAGACTCAGCAAAGTGAACTGAATCACCCAGCAGAAAGGTGGGCAGTAGACCTACATAGGCATTAATTACCCCAAGGAAGGCTACAAATGACTAATGGGCCATTTAAAAAAATATTCAACTCACCAAACCTCAGGAAAATGTAAATCAAAGCCACAAGGAGATATGCCCTTCAAATAAGAATGACAATCACATCCCAAAGACCCAAGATAGTGATGGCAGGAGTGGAGAAATGGGGATGCGTGCACACTGTGCACACAGCATGCTTGTGTGTGTGTGTGTGTCTAAGTTAGTACAGAGATGGAAATGTATTTCAGACCCGAAAAATAAGTGATTAAGAATAAAATTTCTATATGATCCAGAAACCCCACTGCTCTCTTTGTATATATGAAGAAACTAGACCAGCATATTGAAGAGTCATCTTCCATGTTTACTGGATTATTCATAACTAGAGAGAAAAAGAAACAGCCAATGAGTGGATAACAAAAACATGGTACACATATACCATGTGAACACCTGCAGCCATAAGAAGAATGGAATTGTGGTATTTGTGACAGCGCAGATGGAACTAGAGAAGGTTGAGGTAAATAAGTCAGTTACGTAAAGACAAATTCCACATCATATGTGGAATCTCAGAACAAAAACAAACGAAACCAGACTCTCACATACACACAGAATCGTCTCACAGAAGTTTGAGACTAGAACCGTGATGACCCGAGGCCTAGGACAGGAGGGAGGACGGGTGAAGAAAGCTAATTAGGAGGAACAAGAAACCCAGCTGTGTTATTTATGACTACAGTTAAAAAAGGGTAACTGCAGTTAACAATGAACCATCCATTTCAAAAAGCTGGAAGAGAGGATTCTATAGGGTTTTTTAAACCACAAATAAATAAATAAATGTTTAAGAAGATAAATATTTTCACTAGACTGAAATACTATACAACACATATGCGCAGAACACCCCCACAGCACCCCATAACAATTTTGTAGCAGCTAAAATCAACTCATGGGCCAAGGTGCAGATCAGCAGTAGGGCAGTCCCACAGTCTGTACTTCCAACTGAGTCAGCAAAAACATCTCTGGGCAGGACTGAGTGCAGTGTTTAAGGGACCCAGGCACATACATTTAAAACATCGAGGATATCCATAACAAAGATGCAACAGAAAAAAAGTATGTCAAACATCCCAACTGTTGTGTCCCAGGGGATGGTGCTGTTGGGGGCTGAAGGGTGGAGGGCAAGAGCCACTGCTGGACATTCTACTGTGCCCCTCCCTAAACAATCAGTAATCTGGTCCAACAGGGATGCCTCTGGGTGTTCTTGCCTGCCAACATGTCAGCAGTGTAGAAGTTGAGCAGCCCTGATTTATTGGCTCTATCCCAACAACAAACCTAACACGGGGGGGGGGGCACTGTGGATGAGGATGGGGCAGGTCTGATGATTAATGAATGAAACCCTGCCAATGAGAAAGTGTAGTTCCCCTGCAAACTCTTTACCCTAAACCTTCCAGTTTAACAGAACCAGACACTCCTAAAAAGCCACAAAACTATAATAGCATGATTGCAACTTTGAACCGTGTTCTTTTCCTCTTCACAGTTTACAAATCGTGTGAAATGCCTTAGTTGGTATTTACAGTTTGGTATTGTTCAGAGACTGTGGGATGTTAAATTTTAATATTTGGGGGACATTGGCTATGTGTCTGGGTAGATAAAAGCTTAGTTTGGGGCTTGGTGGGCAGATGTGACTGATGGGCATACTAGGTGGTGCAGGCATGGACAGAGCCACGAAAGACGGAAGAGAAACCGGAAGACAGCCCTGTATTTTACTTGAGGTTACAAGGGTAGAGGCTGGCAGAGCTAAGCCTTGAGGGCTTCTGAGTCTCAAGTCAGTCCTGTGTCTTGGCGGGACAATATAACCTTCTTAGCTCTTTGAGGCAAAACACATCCAGAAATTACAGGGCGGCTGAAGGACAGAGCACTGCAGAAACCATGGGCCAGGGTGGGATATTTAAAGGAAAGATAAGGAGATAAAATTTGGCCGGAGAGAGGAATAAAGCTCCCGCCACCCCCACGTCCTTGTGGTTAGATGAAGCTATGTTAAGACCCACAGTCTGGGAGGCATATGACTTTGAGGATCAGGGAAGCAAATCTCTTGTGGCCAGACTAAGTTCCTTCTATTGCAAGTTAATGCAACGGGTGAAGAAATGTCCTTTTAGGGAGACCGTCTTGTGGGAGTGGGAGCGCGGGTCTAACAACGGCGGGGTAAGCAGAAGGGAAGGCACACGCATGACTATTTCTCCAAGTCACAGGCATGGCCATTTCTCCAAGGCACAAATGTGGCCACTTCCCCAGCGTTCACATTTTGCTCGCCAGCTCTTTCCCATCTCCCTTCTTCCCCCGCATTTGGATGGAAACACGGCCACAGTCCGCCTCCAGTTACTCTGATGACAAACAAGCCTCCCTCCAGTGCAATAACCTTCGGCAGCTGTCAGCCCCTCCGGGAACGGTGCTTTCTAACATCTGGATTTGCTCAGCTGCCTCTGAGGCCCAGGCCCATTTGGGCAGCACCAGCTCGGTGGAGGAGGGAGGCCAAGAGGAGTGGGCCTGGGGACTGAAACCATGTGGCCAAGCCACTCCCCGTGCCCTTTCAGACAGGGACAGAAGTAAAAGAGCCTGTGACCTTGATGTAAGGAATCATCTCCACTCAGGCTAGGGCTTTGATCCTAGAGAAGGGAGCATGAGGCATGTGTGCTGTGAACCCGGAACCACAGAGTCAGAACAACACTGTCGAGGCGACTGGTCGGGTTAGTGCCACTTAACTGTTTTCGGCAGCTTCCTACGCTGCACTTGATTGGACCAGCGTTAGCAACTGACGCAGGAATGGCCAATCATATCCTCTGCCTTAGGAACTTCAAACGGTGCCCCTGAGAGGTAAGAACTTGCTCATCTGAGCCGCCCTAGTGCCGCTCCGTTATTTACCTTAAACGTTTACTTGCCATTTGTTCTTTGTTAGTTTTGGGACCGGATCTCGTTCTGTAATTGAAGCTGAACTCAATCCCATAAGTAGCCTAAGGTGGCCTGGAACTCTCATCCTTCCAAGCACTGGGATTACTGGCATGCGTGCCTGTACCCGGATCTGCTCTCCTCCATCCAGATTGAATGAAGCTTCCTGTGGGACGTCCTCTACAGCGATACCTCCCCTAACTCGTTTCAGAGGTGAGCAACTGCGGTACCAGGGCACGATTGTGTGTTATAGCTGAAGTTATCACACGCGTGGTCCCCCCACCTGGAGGAGGGCTTTCTGAAACTGAGGCCTGAGGCTGCCCCTCTTCTCTGTCCCTACTGTGTTAGTCTTGGACAGATTCAGCCACAGCTCTTCCCAACCGGCTGAAGATGAAGAAATGAATGGATGGACGGTTACACTCCAGACAGGCAATATAAACACAGCCTTCCCTGCTTTGTCTGATAAAGCCTACCAGCTTCGGCTCATCACGCCCTGTTTCTGAGCTGGTCCCATGTAGGGTTTTTACTAGCTCGCAGGCTGTTATCAGGATGCCACAGTTTTTTTAAAAAGAGTATCTGTATTGTTTTACATGCTTTACATGCCTGTGCACCACGTGTGTCTGGTGTCCACAGAGGCCAGAAGAGGGTGTCAGAAATTGGAGTCACGGATCTTTCTAAGTCACGGATGTGTGTGCTGTGAATTGAACCTGGGTCCTCTGGAAGAGCAGCAAACGCCTTTAACTGCTGAGCCTTCTCTCTGGCCCCTGAGTGCCAAGTGTTGATGTGACATTTTACAACCGAGATTATTGAAAATGTGTTGCTAGTAGTGACTGGGAGAAAGTACTGAGGCTCCCAGGAGCCTTAAATCTTAAGACGTGTCTAAGAGTGGGTGTGATGATTAATCACCACTGTCTGCTTGGCAGGAGTAGAATGCCGTGGAAAGACAGCCTCTAGGGTCTTTCTTGTGTCTCTGAGGGTCTCTCCGAAAGGATTCACTTAGGAAGCAGATGCCCCCTGGATGTAAGACACACCATCCCACGAGCTAGGGTGGGGGTCGCCGGCTGAATGAAAAGACGTGAGCAGCAGTGCTCGCCTCGCTTCTGTTTCCTGGCTGCAGATGCAATATGAGCAGCCAGTCACCTCACGTTCCTTCCATTGTGACGTCACTGCCACCCCCGCCACTGTGACGTCACACTCCCGCCGCCCGTGACGTCACCGCCACCCCACTGTGACGTCACACTCCCGCCACTGTGACATCACTGCCTCACCCTCCCGCGGCTGTGACGTCACTGCCATGGCGGACTGTACCCCCAGCTGTGTTGCTGTAACAATGAGAAGAGAAAACTACTCGGTGGGTTATTTGCATCTGTGAATCTTCACTTCTTCATTTCCCCTGGCTCTACAAAGAGCACTCTTTAATGGTACAGCCTCTTCCCCCCTCAGAAAGAGTGAGATGCCGATTCACATCCCACAGCGAGATCTTGGGGGGCACCATAGAAAGGGTCACTACGGAGGCCAGGCCTAGGAGACCTTTCCCCAGGGACGTATAGACTGATCAGAGAGGAGACAGGGAGGAAAGTGGAACGTTTCTATTTTTAGTGTGAAGTAAATGTTTGAGCATTCCTGTCCAGTTTTAGTCTCTGTAATGACATGCATAGAGTTAAGAGTGGAATTCCTTTCAAATCACGTTTTTTGTTATTGTCCCGAGGCCAATGCACAGGAGTCTAAATTAAAAAAAAAATTATACCTAAAAATAGTCAAAATGGGATGTTTTAGCAATACGCTGTTCACCCAGGGTTCTGCTTGATCTGTGACCGTCTGCCAGACAGAACAGAATGTCCACAACTGATCAGTTTGTGGTGAGGTGGACAGCCAGGACTGTGAGTCACTAGGTTCAGCAGATAAAGGTGAATTGCCCCAAATGAGGCCCTCTCCTCACCACTTTCTGGGGCTTTTAGGCCAAGGTTGCCCAGTACTTACAGGGGTAGGAAGGAGTGCGGGAAGGGGAACTGAGTTTATATATGAAAATCAGTTTATAGACTTGATAGCAGCGCAGCCTCAAACTAACATCCACCTAGGCCATGCTCACCCATAGAGTTAAAACCAACTGGGCCATGGAGACCATGGCAGGTGGTAGCTCTGGGGCAATCATGATTCCCTACATCACAATTGGGGCTTATTCAAAGAAGACCCTGAAATACACCTAGAACCCCTAGAAGTGGCTTCAGATTTTTTTTTCTTTTTCAGGTCAGGGCTTCTCTATGTAGTCTTGGCTGTCCTGGAACTCACTTTGTAGGTCAGACTGGCCTGGAACTCACAGAGATCTGCCGCCTCTGCCTCCCAAGTGCTGAGATTAAAGGTGTGTGCCACCACTGCCCAGCTTGTGGCTGAAGATCTTAAGATCATAACGGGAAGGCGCCTTGACAAAGAAAGACAGCACAAACAGCTCATTAACTGTGGAGAGGGACCATGGCAGTCCCTGAGGGCCCAGACATTGCTGGATGGTTGAACTTGAACAAAGGAATGAAAAAGTAGAGCAAGATGGCTCAATAAAGGAAAGCATTGTGTTGGAAGGATCACGAAAGTCTAAGCTTAAAGCCTTGCTCACCACCCACCTTTCCAATTATCAGTCGTCTATATCTGTCCATCTGTCTACCTCTATTATTGTGTGTGTGTGTGTGTGTGTGTGTGTGTGTGTGTGAGTGTGTGTGAGTGAGTGAGTGAGTGAGTGCATGTACTGTGATATGAATTCAGAGGCCAGAAGACAATTTCACAGAGTTGGTTCTCTCTTTCTACCTCTACATGGGTCCAGGGATCAAACTCAAGTTACCGTGTGTCTTAGTTACTTTTTTTTTGTGATAAAACATCATGATCAGGACAACTTATAAAATAGAGTATTTAATATGGTGCTCGTGGTTTCAGAGGATTGGAATCCATGACCATTATGGTGGGGAGCATGGCGGCAGGTGGCCAGGCAGGCAGGCAGGTGATGGGAGATGCCATTCTGTAAATTTGTCTCTCTTATTGGTTGATGAATAAAGCACTGTTGACCAATAGGGATGCAAGATAGGTGGGACTAGGAGTCGAGGAGGATTCTGGAAAATGTAGTCAAGGGTAGAGGGTCACTATGTGATCCTGGGGAAGAGAGGACACGCCAGGATGCCGTCCTCAGAAAGATAAGTCCTTATAGAAATATATATTAGTAGTCATGGGTTAATACTTAAGACAGAACTAGCCAATGGGAAGTCCTGGACATTGACCAACAGCACTGTAACTATTAGAGTGTCTGTGTGTTATTTGGGGTTGGTGCGGCACTGGGACCAGGCTGGCGGGAAGAATCATGTTACAGGCAGGCAGGCAGGCAGGCAGGCAGAGCAATGGAGCCATAGCTAACAGATCACATCTTGAGAAACAACCACTAGGCAGAGAGAGACACTGGGAATTATGCAAATCATTTGAAACCCCAAAGCCCAACTCAGTAATACACCTCCTCCAACAAGACCACTCTTCTTAATTCTTCCCGGACAGTTCTACCAATTGGGGACCAAGCATTTAAGTGTATGAGTGTATGGAGGTCATTCTCCTTCAAGCCACCCCACCAAGCTTGCCTGATGAGTGCATTTACCCACTGAGTCACCTCACTGGCCCCATCACTAACACTTAAAACAATATTGGGCTTTGGTTTTCTCACCCGAAGAACAAAATCGCCACTACATGGCTTCACTCATTCAAGCCTACAACATATTGTGCACCTGCTATGTGCCAGGGACTAAGCTAGGCTCCATGGACACAGGGTGCGCAGATAAGTGTCCTTCCTGCCCACACGGGGCTCTCATTATCCCGGAGGAATCAAAATGTGACTTGACTCTTCATAGTTAACACCATTGTCAACTCGTTTGAGAATCACGCAGGAGACAAACCTCTGGGATGCCTGTGAGGGAGGTTTCTAAATTGGGTTAACTCAGGTGGGAAAAATCCATTCTTTTTCTGTTTTTTTATTTCTAATTTTACTTTTTACTGATTTGTTGTTGATTTCACATCATGCATATTGATCCTACTCATCTCCCTGCCCGTTCCCATCAGCTCTGCTCTTGCAACGCCCACCCCCCCATAGGACAATGAAATTTAAAAGAAAAGACAAAATAATTCAAAGGACAGAAAAATATTGTTCTGGAATCAGTAGTGTGACTGAGAGTCACACAGTATACCTTTAGTCCATACATCTTTACTTGTGAGTTTTCGCTGCAATGAGTCATTGGAATGCTTCGAGGCCTCTGGTTTCTGCTACACGATCAATACTGGGCCCTCCCTGGGGCTCCTCTTGTTGCCCTGTGTCGTGAGATTCTGCAGCTTTGCGTCTGCAGGACCGGCCCCTTCACATGCTCCAGCAGATCACTCATAGCCCTGGTTCTGGGCCTGGGTGGTTGCTGGGTTGGTCGGCCTGCCAGCTCTCCCTTGTCCTCACCACCAGGGTGAGCTCTCCAGCATTGCCCTGACTAGTTCACCCTGTACAGCAAGGAGAAAAGGGCTGGGCTGGTTCTCCTGCTCTTATACTCTCAGGGCCAGGACACCCACACCTATACCACTAGAGCCAGCTTTCCTGCATTGCCAGGCAACGTGCAGAGGCCACTCTCCTGAGTTCTGCAGCTGGTGGGGGGCAGGGCCAGCTCTCTCGTGACCCTAGGGTCAGCATTCCCACCTGTCACAGGTGGTGAGGGACGAGTGTGGGGGGGTATCCTTCCCTTGCCCCATTCCGTGGGCTGCACCATTCCGTAGACTGAAGTCTTAAACTGAATAAAAACAAGAAAGCAAGCAGAGCCACTGGTGCTCATTTCCCTCTGCCTCCTGCTTGTGGGTGCAGCCTGACCAGCTGCCTCACATTTCTCCCACCAAGCTTACCCTGCTATGTCAGGTTGTGCCCTCAAACTGTAAGCCAAAACAAACGCTTTTGCAAGTTGCTCTTGTCAGATATTTAATCATGCAAGGAAGACGGTAATATAAATCTGGACCCTTGGATGCTCGTCACCTTCCTCCTCCGCCTTGTTCCTGTGGACTGGGCTTTGGCTCACATTTTAGGAACTATTAGCAGGCACAAAGAAAGGCTTAGAACAGCAGCTTTAAGAGTAACTAGAGCGTGTAGTAGCCATCCTTTCCACCAGTGTGAGAGACTTGTGGAGACCGAGATGAAGCAGGAGAAGCTGACGGACTCCAGAACAAAGTCAGGAAATGATGACAGCCTCCTTCTAAGAAAGCGAGAAATCTTCCCGGCCTGCTTCAGATGGATACTCAAACCAGGGTTTTAGCAAAACACATCTGACAGGCACTTCTAGGGACGGAGAGGGTGATCACAGGTGAACATGGAAAGCAATGTGCTGATCACTCATAAAGGTAAAAATACTGCAGCTGTGATTTTATACATTCATGAGCCAGTCTTTTCTGCTCTATAGAAAAATGATTACGATGCAATCCGTTTCTGCTGTAGTGGGAATCATTTACATGAGACACAGGAAAAGCCTTTCTACCTGTAGGGATAGTTACATATTAATGAAGTAGAAAGCTGTAGCATAAAATCCACATGGCAGATAAAGTGCTTGTTATCTGATTCTTTTTTGCAAGGCCAGTGAACCCAAAGAAACACTGCCTGGTTTCTGTGATCCTCATCTTTGGTGTGAGCAAAGCTGGATGCCTGTAGGCCAAGAGATGTTCACTCCCTCTTGAAGCTTCCCAGTCCTAGGATGTCTCCGTTTCCAGGCCATTCTCCACTTTTATCCTGCTCGCTGTCCATGGAGCTGACCTGAGTACAAGGACCCTGTCCCGGAGGGCTTGAAGCACTCTTTATGTCCCCAGAAGCTGAAGGAAGTGGGGGACTCACTAACCAGCCCAAGATGGACATGCAGCGCCTGATGACATTTGCTGTGGCTACAGTCTCCCTCGGGTCCAGGTAAACGCTCCTGCCCTTTGTACCTCCACCACCCACTGTCAGCAACCCTGGTGCTCCCTAGCCGCACACAGACATCAGCAAATAGTCCTTCAGCGAGTTCTCCTCAGTCCTTCCCCGCCCCCCACACACACACTTGAACGTTGTGTCATCTGTCTCCATCTGGAATTCTGACTCCTAGACTCTATGAGCCTGATTGGAGAAATTTCCAAAATTTCACTCAGCTTCTGTTCTAGTGAAAAGGTTTTGAGCAAGCACTTTGTAATGCTTAAACAATCAATACTATTTCCCAAACTTTCTGAATGCCTGGTATGCTCGAGGGGCTGGACCAAACTGTCAGTGTGATGTAATGACAATAGCATCCCTTTGTAACTATTTTAAAATCCTTGCTTGCCTGGAAACCAGTGTCCTTATGAGAAGTGCATCAACTGAGATCACAGCATGGATAATTCAGTGGAAGAAGACGTGTTCCTAGGCGGATTTCATGCTTTACACGGTCATTCTTTTGTGTTTACTTGTTATTTCGTTTTGAGACAGGCATTTGCTGTGCAATTTAAGATGGCCTCCCACTCACAATCCTCCTGCCTCAGCCTCCCCACTGCTGGGATTGCAGGCATGCACCACCACACTTGACTCTGAGTGTCTATGCTTCATGGCCTCTTATGAACGACCATCAACACAAGGGTATTGAAGAGAATAAAGAGCGGCTATTCCAAGGGCTTGAGAAAAGCAGGGCGCAGGCATCAGGGAGAAGAGCAGCAGGTCCAGGCAAGAGACTGGGGTGGCTGGGTGAGAGGGTAGCAGTGGGAAAGGTAGAAAAAGATCGATTTACATTTGCCTTCAAGATGGAGCCAACGGGGGGGGGCACTGCTGTATGGAATGGGCAGGATGGCTATGGTAAGCCCCAGAGTCCATCCCCGCGGTGTGGACACAAGCTCCTCACCCAAGGAAGACACAAACCACATCTATGTGTATATAACTCACTTCCCCAACCCATCAATATCCGTCTTGCATAAGAGACAGTTTCATGAGTAACATGGAGCTTCAGCCGCCCCGTATCCTTTTCCAACTCAAACCCGGTCTCTCTGAAGGGCTTTGGGGAAGTTCAGTTTTTCCTTGATGCCCCACCCCCACCACAGTATTGCGATACAGTAGCGAAGGAAGTAGATTCCAGCTGCTGGAGCCTGGAGACAGGAGAAGCCTGGCATGGGGGACAGGGACAATGAGGTGGGGACACAGGGGGACACACAGCCGAAGATGGAGGCTTCAGTAGTAGAAGGCAATTAAGATCACAGCTTGGATCCAAAGTGGCCGTGGGGCTTATGGGACATGGAGATGCAAGGGTTAGACAGTCGAAGCGTCTTAGACAACAGAAGAGCAGGCCAGGAAGGCAGGATCTGCATCAGATGAGGCAGGGGGCCTGCTCAAGACCAAGAGAATGGCTCTGGAACTCTCCCCAGGGGAGGCTGGAGCCCTTTCCCTTGTTTCTGTCTTGGCAAAGCAGAGCAGAAGATAAAACATATATCATGTGGACAGCTCACAGAATCACTCATCTGAAAGGATGCACTTGAAATACACATTTTGATGGAACTATGAAATACACAAGGTAAGAAAATACTCTGTTCATAGTCCTTCTCTGTCACATGTACTGCATAGACAGCTACATTTCTTTCCAGCCCGTTTCCTATGTGCAAACGGAAGGCTGAAATCAATTTTATTTTTCTACATCAGTATTGCACATGACTCAGTTAGTCAAGTGCTTGAGGTCCTGAGTTTGGTTCCCCAAAACTCATGGGAAAAGCTGAGTATGGTGGGTGTGCCTACAATCCCAGCAGTGGGAAGACAGACACAGGGATTCCTGTGGCTTGCTGGCCAGGTGGACTAGCCAAAGCCCTGAGCTCCAGGTTCAGTGAGTGACTTTATTTTTAAAATAAGTTGGAGAGAGACTGAGGGAGATACCTGACATCAACTTTCTTTTCTACACATACATGCGGGTGCATCTGAACACACAGACTTAGCATTCAAAACCAATAATACGCACCAGTTTGGTCGCCCTCAGATTTCCTGATGTCACCTAAGCAGAACAGTTCAGTCCAAGGGTGCTGGGGACGCTGCACTGACAGTGTCTGTTTTAGTGCAGCATCCTACAGGGTGTTCAAAAGCCACATGAGTCTCACTTGTAAAAGATGTTCTACGTTTAAGGAACCAAAACCTATAACCCGTGACTCCCTGCATCCAGGATGGAGTTCAGACTATATGGCGAATTTGTATTAGATTATTAGAGATAGCAAACTCATCAAATTTTGGCACAACACTTTCTTTTTTTCTAGCATTTGTGAGCCTTTATTCCGTCCCAGGCCTCATGGACCTCATGGAGCGTCTCTGTTTCACAGACACAGAAGCAGAGGCGTGGAGACGTGCTCAGGGCCACAGGGCTGGTCAGTGAAGGAGGTGGGAAGAGGGTGGTGCTCTTGACCATTCCCCTCCCTTCTTATGCAACATGCCTCCCCTGTCACCAGTGGGTTGTGTGACCGCACACACTGCTGAGTCTCTGTGGGTTTCCAATTTTCTATTCTTCAGAGGCTGGGTTAGAAGTTCTGCTCTCTGTACTCCCTGATCCACTTTACCTCCTCAGGAGGCTTTCAGGGATGCACCCCATTCCTGGTCACACAGGGTATCTGTAGGTACCGGGGTTTCTGACTCTGCAGGGAGCTTACAGTCTAGTAGGGGTCATGAGCGGTGTCACAAGAAAGTGAATAATTAATTCCGCAAGTGCGGTTCAGGGCACAGAGTGAGAAAGCAGCTGAATGGGTTTTGCTTATTGGAAAATGGATCGTCATCATCTTAAAATGTTTGCTGAAAACCACTTCTCTATTAGGCAAGGGCTAGACGTGCTTGTTGGTGGACGTGTCATCATATGACTCCAAGTTCGGTCCCAATTCGTCCAACGTTGAGCTAAGGAGCTGTGGGCAGCTGGCGGATATGCAACATCTCAACAAAAGCATGAACACTTCGAGGGCGTGTTAGCCTTTCCTTCACACAATCTATATGTTGCAACATCTGCTCCACACGGATATACACGAGAAGGCGAGTGTTAAGGAAGCAGAACTCAGGGGGGCAGCGGTCAGTGGATTGTGTAGACTTGCTGAGGGAATCCTGCCGTGGAGAGACTGTGCAAGCTGAAGCTGGGGTTTTCGACGGCAGAGGACTAGCTGTGAGCAGAAACTGTTTGATCTTGACAGCGAGAGCTGAGCTCGAACCACCCCAAGAGCCAGCGCACAGGAGCGAGCTCTTTAAAGCACTGGGCTTCTTGGCTTCACTAAGCAAGCAGAAGAATGAGTCTTTGATTGGCTTAGACTCACCACGTGACCTCTCAGAGCCTATGGCAGGGGAGGTGGTATGTCCCAGGATGTCCCATCTCCCATTCTGCCCCGTCTGCTGCTGGGAAAACTCCTCTCTGGCTTTGCGCCTGTACCATCGTTCATTCTAACGTTGCAAGGGCAACAGCATCCGCTTCCAAGGTTTCAACGTTCCATAGCTGGCAATGGATCCTCAGCTCCAGAGACCCAGCTAAGAGCTCTGGAGTCACATGTGTAGCTGCCCTCTGGGTTCCTGCTTCTCATCTAAAGTCCCTCAAACCTGCCTCCTACACCTATTATTCAGTGAATGGGCATCACTGATGCTCACTGTCTCCCGTTACAAACAGCACTTCCCTTCTCTGTAATGTCTTTTCAACGCATTGGGTCACCGTGGGACCTCGGAGCTTGACACTGTCTACCTATGACAACACTTCCATGGGCTCCTTGCCTTTTGTTTTTGAACCCATTCTCCATACAGTAGCCAAGAGGTACAAATGAAATGTGACTTCCCTCACTCTCTGTAGGCGGTCAGCGGCTTCAGTGGCTTAGCCTAATCATGGGTTCCCACTGGGGCCCTGCTTATCTCTCCACTGGTCACTACTATCGCAGGCCTCTGACGTAGGACTCTGACCTTAGAGATCAGAAAAAAGAAGAGCTGAATTTGTTAAAATGAAAATCAACACAATTTCCACTCTTCCCTAGTTCTGATACAAGTGTTTCTGATATCAATTAATCTGAGCAATCTGCTCAGTGACAACAAAGCCACCCAAGATAAACCCAGAAGATAAGCAATGAAAGAAAGATGGTCTTTTCTGTTTTCCCTGGTTACAGCCAACCACTCCTCCATTGCTCCCTCACTGGACCTCGCTTGTAACTCTCTTTCGCAGTCTGCGGTTATCTGTTTATTTCTTCGGTGTATCTTTTCCTTTGCACACTGACATCCTGGGTTTCCGGAAGATGTGCCTGCCGGTATCTTCTATGCAGGACATAGCTTTGATGCAATGCTTCCGGCTGAGGAGAGTCTCATGAGAATGCAATTGTAATTCTTAAATCACAGTAGTAGGTCTCTGATTTTCATCACAAACATCTGTTTCTTTAAGACGGCCTGCTGTCAAAGTATCCCTCTATGTTACAAAGGATTAGCGCTCTTACTAAGTGATTTGCTCATAGAAACCACTATAGAGAAGATCAGTTCCCAAGAGGAAACTTGACCAGAGGCAATGCCATACATCCTAGCAAAGAAGCAATGCAAATGTCCGTCAGGTATGCGGCAGGAGCCCAGTCTCCTGTGTGGAATGCAGACAGCTGTTGGCAGGATGTGAGGAATGGTACTCAAATATACTCCTTGTGGGATGTCAACCTGTTAGAACCTTTCTAGGAGGAAATCAAGTGATTCAAAAGGTAGAGTTTTCTACTCTTAAGCCAGCCTTTCCAGGGCCTGTGTGCTTCAGGAATAATCAGATAAGGATACTTAGTTTATAAGGGAGCTCGGTAAGTGAAACACTGTTAACAATCGTTCAAACGCAGATACATCAAACTCTCATCAGTGGTGGCTTGGCTAAACAACTAGTGGAATACAATGCAGCATAGAAGCAGATCTCTAGAGTTCTGTACTTTTACAAGGACAGATGGCCGTAGCCCACAATGTATTAAGTGAACAGGCGGGTTGTGAAACATTTTACCACCTACCTCCCCAGCCTCCTTTCCTTTCATTCATCTATCAAGTAGGAAGTGAAAGAGTATGTATCAGATCACAAATGTCAATTACCACAGAATAAATTTAACTTATTACTGATTGCACATTTTATTTTCTATCAGATCTTGAAGATTTGGTAAGGAACATGTATTGCACTTAGAATAGCCAAGACGACAAATACTGCCTTTTGGGGAAAAGGTTTTCTTCTTAAAGGGGCAGTTTGAGAGACTTACCTCTGCAAATACATGTCACAACAGTAACATTTTTTTGTGAGGGACCTCAGATTGGTGACTTAGTTCTTGTCTGAAAGGTCTCATATAATATGTGATCTATACTGCTTTTTTTCCTCTGTCTTTTACTAATTCTAAGAAAGTGCAACATAAAAAATTTAGTCTGTTCCTACTCCAGCATAGGGGAAAATCACACTGTTTTGAACTACCAGTGGATAACACATGGATAATAGACATTTCATGTAGTTCCTCTTCCGTCGGACTCCCCTCATCTGTCCTTTTAAACATCTCAGACTACAGAACAAATTCTTGTAATGACTGGATCAAAGTTGTGCAAATTTGAAATTTTGAGTTACTGTTGCTTTCTCTAATATAAATGTGCCACCAAGACAAAACTAGCTGCTCTCCAATTTCCTTTTTGCTTGTCCCTGTGTATGCTTGACTTGACTTATTGTTAGAGAACACCCACGTTTACATTTTTCCCCTGGCATCAATGATGTGTTCACTCCTAGAATTTTCTCCAAGTCCCTTCTTGGGAAACAGGAAGCATTCTGCCTTGGGTTTACTGTATTACTTTGTGCTGTCTTATGTGAAAATTTGGAAGTTTGAGAACACTGTACTCCCCGTGAAGGCATGTCCTCCAGAGTCTCAGAAGAGAAACCCTTCACAGGGGAACATCCATGTCACCTCAATAATCTAGCCACCCAGGCAGCAGAAGTGCTGGCTGAGAGGCGGGGAAAGCTAGGGTCACAGAGGAGAGAGATGGAGAACGCCACTTATCACCCAGAGACCAAGAGCAATAGAGGGATTATGAGAAAGATGTTATCCCATTATTTCTTCTCTTGTAAGTCTCCACCACCTATCCCAACACAGGAACTGTGAGTGTGCGCCGTCTTGGGGTCTAGGGGAGGGGTGAGGGTGAGGAGTGGTTCAAGCTGGGCAGTTCCTGCTCTCTGCAAAAGTTCCTGGGGTCTATGCTGCTATTTCTGTGACTTCTACTATACTTTCTGATGCTTTTTAAAAAAAAATCTTTCTGCTGGCCTCTTACTCACACCTCTCTTTGGGAGACAGCATTCTGATTAATAGACTGCTTCCCTTACAGTACAGGGCCCAGAGATGTCTCTCCTGGCTTGTAGGGTCACCATGTAGTCATTTTCAAGGGGGACTCTCCAGTACTTACATTCAGCAGACCCCTCTAGAGTGAACGAACACTCTGACTACTGAAGTAACAACTTACAAGTTCCTGCCTTTCCTAATTAAAATATCTTTTCCCACTTTCCTAAATGCAAAGATGAATGAGGTCATGAATCCATGGGATCCAGTAACAGGGAGGGGAGTGAGAAAATTCACTTGCTGCCATGGGGCTTCTGAGGGCTCTTCACCCCTCACCCCCCTAAAGCCTTGACTCACTGAGGATGGCATTAGGAGGCCTCTCAGTTCTGGGATGACACACCTGGCAGCCCTAGCCAATGTCCTTATAAGGCAACTGCCATGCCTGACACTGACTGCTTCCCTGGCCCATTTTGTCAGCACATGATGAAGCAATATCCCTGGCTTGGGAAGGGTGGGGAACAGCACGCTGCTGCTGACTGTAGTCCGTAGTCCGTAGTCTGTAGTCTGGGTGAGACAGCCCCACTTCCTTTTCTGTTGGATCTGAAATGGGAAACCTGATTCTGGGAGAACCTTGGGAGCAAGCCCACATAATTCATTGAGCAGTTGCAATGGTTCCACATCTGACCCGGGCATTGAACTTATGTAAGTCCCTACCAGCGAGCTGCCTCCCAGCCCTGTGCTAGCAGCTTAATCTCACCAGTCAGTGTTTGCAAAGAAGGGACAAGGACTAGTTGGAGTGCCCCTGGACCAAACATGAATCTGTCTGCCAGCTAAAATGGCACATTCGAGACAAATTAGAATTCCAGTGTAAGCATTGTTGTGGTTTGAATGTGTGGCCGCCTCCAAATTTCATGTTGGAACTTAATCTCCAATACAATAGTGTGAAGAATGAAGTCTGTAGGAAGTGATTAAGCAAAAACGGAACCCCATTTGGATGGGGTTTGGGCCTTTGTAAAGGGCTTCGGGGTTGGGTCTGCCTTTTCTGTTTTTCCTCAGTGTTCAGACACACAGTTTCCTCTCTGGAGGACTCGGTAACAAGGTGTGACCTGGAAGCTGAGACCGATTTCTTGGCAGATCTGAGCCTACCAGTACTTCACTCTTCCCACCTTCTGGAATGATGAAAAGCTCTGCTGTTTATAAGCTGCAGTCTGAGAGGATGTTGTAGCGGGACACAAGCACTTCTCAGCTTTGCGTGGGCTGGATACTGTTATTCATCCTTCCCTAGAGGCTCCAGTTTAACTGGGTAGCCAGCTCTCCAACCTTCTTCTTATCCTCCCACTCATTTTTCTCTAAATTTGGCAACTCTAGACCACACCCATTTCCACCCTTGTGATGTGATGTTCTTCCAGAGAGACACAATTGTGTCCCCACACGCCTTTCTTCAAGGAGACCGTCCCAGAGCCTGCTCCTCAAGCCCAGCTCCGGCTTGCTTTATTTTACTGGCTGCTGGCCATTCCCTTGTGTATTCACTGCCTTGTCTGCCTCCTCACTAACAAGCTCTCCTCAGAAAGGCAGGGACTCAGGTCTGTTGACGACCGCTTCCCCCCCACAGCTCGGCATAAAGTATACATTCAGAAACAACGCTCTTCCTCTCTCTGTTTCTCTCTCTCTTTCTCTACCTGTCTTTCTGCCTCTCCTTCCCTCCGTCCCCTCCTCCCTCCCTCTCCCTCCTCCTCTCTCTGTGTTCCTTCATTTCTTTCTCTCTCCAGTGCAACCCTATGAAGCCCAGGCTGGTTTTGAACTTGCGCCCTTCCTGCCTCAGGTTTTATAGGTGCCACCACATCTGGCCAGAAACTATTCCTTGAACAAATGGCGTGTTCTGCATGATCAAGAGAGATCTTTGAGTTTCCATGTAGCTTAACAAAGAGAAAGAAACGAAGAGCCAGTGAGCATTGGGAAAGCCTGGGGGAGACCAGAGGGAAATCAGAGTCAGAAGCAGAGACAGAACAAATCACGGGGAAAGGCAGATTCGTCCTGAGGTCTTGATGCTGTAGATCTCATGTTAGGATAAAGCGTGAGGGGGACATTGGCGGATTCCATGGCAGGCGAGGTTGACCAAGGCGGGGGACAAACACGCCAGACAGACAGAGCTTAAGTGAGAAGTTTTATTAGAAAGGGAAGGGAGGAAAGGAAAGAGAAAAGAGGTAAAGACACACACACACACACACACACACACACACACACACAGAGACAGAGAGAGACAGAGAGAGACAGAGAGACAGAGAGAGAGAGAGAGAGAGAGAGAGAGAGAGAGAGAGACAGAGAGACAGAGAGAGAGACAGAGAGAGAGAAAGGGAGAGAGAGGACAGAGAGAGAGAAAAAGTCCCGTCAGCCCCAGAGGAACAGCAGGAAAGAGAGGGAAAAGAGAGAGCAGAAAGAGAGGAGTAGGAAAGACAGTGTAAGTGGGCGGGGTCATTCTTTTAAAGGGTCCTTTGCACCTGGGCTGACCAGGGTACTGCCTGAGCGCATTCAGCCAGGTGACGGGGCAGGCCAGCCTAATTCCTGAATCCTTACAGGCTATACATGCGGCTGGATGTCATCACTATCCATGGCAATGCCACATATAGTTTCAGAGCACGGGCTTGCAGGACACAGACCCAGTTTGTGTCTGAACTCCATTTAATCACGTACGGTCAGGCCACAGGCAATCTATAGCCTCTCCAGTCCTCATGTTCCTTAACTACTCAGTGTGGCAGTGTAAATGTGACATTTGTCATAAAGCACCCGGCACGGCATCCTAGACCTGCTGAGTACATCGAGTATAGCAGATGTGAATGCTGTGCCCGCGGCAGCCATACTCCTGTCCTCAAAATTCACATTCATTGATGCGGGATCCCAGTTGATGGCCACCTTTCAAAAAGAGGCACCTTTTCATTTTGCTTCTGCTTCTGAATCACTGTAGAAGGGCTGTGGGGCCACAGGTGGGGTTAAAGATTGGCAGGCAGAGGTGTTCTTTGCTCATGTGGATGCCAGGAAGGCTCTCCTGCCAGCTGAGTGACTCACAAGCCAGCCTCACCGCGAGAGCTTCCAGACTCAGCCACAGCACACACTGAGGCCTTTGAGATTTCTAGGAAATAATCAAAGCTGCAAGTGTTAAACCCGGGCCCAAGTCATAGAGCGCACAGAACAAGGTACTAGTGTCGGTGCAGAATTCGGCTTGGCTTTGATGCAGACGATCCCTGTGGCCCCGTGTCACGTAATCTGTTGAGGCTCACAGTCCTCCTGGGAGAAAAGCTGTGATATTTTCTGCCGTGTCTTACAGGTCTGGATGGCCATGAGATGGAGCAGGGTGTGACGCAGGGCTTTGCAATTGGAAACTACTATATAAAGCCTTGGATTATGATGATGCCATCAGTATTGTACAAGGAATGGGGGGGTGCTTGGATGCTTAGCCGGTGATCTCCAGTTCCATAGCTGTCACCCTCACCCTGCACCTCACAGACACACACCCTTTTCCCGGCGCCAGAGTAAAACGGGACTTTTGATGTGTCCCCAGAGCTTCCACAGCCAGCCAGCCAGATGTGTGCTTCCCACTGCAGGAGCAGGAAATTAGTGGTGGCTCTGTGTAAACAACTGTTATAAACACCAGTAACCCAGCGCTTCGCTCTGTGCGTAATTGGTTGTGCTTTTCTGGAACTGGACACCACACATGAAAGTCCCACAGTCCAAGCACCACGACACGGCCTGGGTAGGCTCCAGCATCCCCTGACCCAGCCACAATGTCCAGCCCGTCCTTAGGTGGAGCGCGGCACAGTCATGTAGGCCGAGGCAGCTGAGCAGGGACAGAACGTATCAGGGCCCATGGCACTGGCCTGAGCTCCAAGACCCAGCCTTGCTCTCATCACCAGAGTCCTGTGTCCGACTTGATATTATTTTCCTGAGGAGAAACGTGGTCGGTCTTTTGTGCACTGGTGAGGACTGCCATCAGGCTGCAGAGGGCAAGGTCCTTGCGTCAGACCCTGACATTTCATACGTGCATTTGGTAAATAGTAACAAAATGGTTACATATACTAGGTCTTGAATCTCCCCTCCTTTGTGGACCTTACTAGGCTATTGAGTGTTAGCAGATAATAATAAGAGTAAAAAATAATCGGAACACAGGAGGGCAGAGAGGTAAGACTAGGAGGCAACATCTGGATAAAGACCCAGGCTGTGTACATCTGAAAAGAACCTTCTAGATGGAGGAAATGGTTCAGTCAGAGGCCCTGACACCTATCCACTGTCCCATGTGTAACCGGCACCCATTGAGCCAGGGAAAAAGCTGGGAAGATGGGGAGGTCAGACC